GCCTACCGCACCTCACGATTCATATCCTCTTCCTCGAACCGCTGAGCGGACAGTCTAGCGTCGACTACCTCCTGCTTGGCCTTCAGCCATGACGATGTGAACGATATCTGAACAAGTGAGGCAGAGTAGAGAGAAGGGCTACGGTCGATCACAGCAATGTTGAAAGCAACCAACCAAAGTCTATAGCTGTGCTACAGTGGAAGCGTCGGAGGAGTCGATCTTTCAGCTACATCACCGTTACAACCAGAGCCCTCAGCCCTGTGACCACATACAGTGTCTGCTCCCCCTCTTACATTGACGAGCATTTCCTTTTCTGTGTTAACCACCATACTACGTAATAGTAGACGCCCTTTCTTGTCCACCCACCCCGCGTTGATAAGATGGTCCAAATCCCCCTGTAGGTCTAGCAGGGCCGTCCATCCTCTGAGGTGGAAGGGAACCCATCCACGATGGCTGCCGTGGATGCTGCTATTACACTGTCGGTTGTTGTTGTGTGAAGGTAGTGGGACCGTAGCGGATAATAGACGTACTCGGACACCTAAGGGAGATCTCATCTTAGTCACTCGCAGGCGTTGCTCGAACAACTATGGACGGAACCTTGTATAGAATTTACTACTCGTTTTAAAGTAAACATAATTTCGAAAAAGCTTTAACAACAGAAAAAAGGTTGAAAATCACCAACACATTCGCAGTAGTAGTGAATAAGACTAACAGACCCACTAGGTCCGAGGAGCGGTCGAAAAGAGTGACCTCTAACGCTGGTGAACGAATCCCTGCGTCATCCTTGATTATTACACCTCGTAGTAGCGCTTTATAAACCTTAGTATTACTTCAGGTTTGGTATCCACAACATCACTTGTCGCCTTAATCCTTCCGGATGCAGCCGCCAGAAGTCCCCTGGTGATCCTGACCAGATCGTCCTGGGCGTCTATGATGAAAGGCATCATCCTACGCTCGGTCGCTTCAACAACCACATTGACTGCTAGCCAAGTGTCCTGGGGGGTGGCGGCCTGTCCCGTACCAGCATAGAAGTAACTGTATACGGAAGATGAGCACCAAGGACGAGGGAGAGCGGTTGTTACTCACCCTCGTGGGTAGATCTGTAACCGGTGTTTACACTCCTTTCCCGAGTCCCACATTTCCTTCCCCACCATCATGGCACTGCTAGGGCTGAACCTCGACCGACTATCGCGTGCCAGCTGAATGATCTACGATGAGAAGATAAGAGTCATACCGTAAATCCACGAAAACGTCCATGAGACCCCCTCTCCTCGCGCGTGAAGCCATAGTTACATCAGGCGGCCGTTGCTACCTGTTCGCTTTCGTGTACTCGTAGTGGTGGTAAGATCTCCTTCATCTCCTCGGAGTACTCAATACGAGTCGTTATTACTAAAAATGATTACTTTAGTCTAGAGGTTAGCCCTCTGGAGTTCCATCCACGAGGTCCATGGTTCTATTCCCGGCCCCTCCACTACTTGTAGTTGACCCCTTCCACTGGCCAGTTTCTGTCCAATTACCCGCCTCTTCTCCCCCAGGAGGCGGCGGCGGTGGTGGTGGAGAGGGGAAGAGGGGAGAAAGGACTGCTGCTGCTGCTGCTGACGTTGCTGTGATCGACGCGAGAACTTGAGCTTAGTGGCCTTCTGTAGCCTTCCAGACCCCTTGCGACCAACAATGGGGGTATCTGTCAAGAGTCACCCCTTAATTCGATGATACAACGCATACAACCCGTCGCGGCCTTACTACTTGCGG